TGAGATAGTGACAGGCAGGAAAGGGAAGCTGGGTTGCCTGTCCCCCTGTGCAGGGCCATACCCTCCAGTCCCCACTACTCCTGTTCTCTTCTGCTCTGTCCCCTCTGAAACACTGGTCTAAGAGACAGAAAACAAACACATGAAAGCCTGTAAAAATAAAGAGCCCAGTAACTGGTAGTAAAGACTCCAGCAGCTGTAGGGAGCCAAAAGCTTCTTGGAGGGGGTTGGATGGAAGTCGAGTTTCCCTCCCTGCTTGTATTGTATTTCTTTCCTCTGCCAAAATGTGCTTCTTGAGCCTTGGGCAGAGCTGTCGGCGGCTGACCCTCACCTTCCTCTGTTTAGCCTGGAGCTCAGGCTGGCCACGAGCGCCGGAGGCCGCGCCAGGGGCCGGGCAGAGCCTCCTGCCCAGCACACCCGGGCCAGCCCCGCTGCCTGCGGCTGCCTGAGAGCCACAGCCCGGGCAGCCTCACCTGAGCCCGGGCCGATAAGGGACCGAGCGGCAGAGCCCGGAGGGAGCCCGGGCTGGGCACGGGAAGCTGGCAGGGAGAAAGGGCTGAACTGATCCCACATTTAGGGGCTCCATCCAGCCCTTTTCTCCCAAAGCTGGGTCAGGTTCCTGTCTCGGCGCAGCTGCACATGGGAGGCAGAGAGAACAAAGCAGAGGTCAGACAGTGCTCTAACCAAAGGGGTAATTCTGGCTCCATTAAAATCCTCGCTCCTGTTCGCATGGAAGCAGAAGGCTGTGCTACTACTTATAAAGAGCTGAACCACCCTCAGGCTGACTCATAGCCCTTAACAGAGCTGCCATGCTGATTTTACAAATATTAGAGCAATGCCTCAGATTCAGGGTTTTGTGTGGTTTAACCTATCAACTCGGGAGCAGACCCATAGCTCTTTTATAGAGCTCCCCTTCCCTGTATTTTATTTCCTTTCTCGGTGCCAGAATTGGAGCCAAAGCTGAGCTTAACAAAGCAACAGGCATGGCCATTCTTCCCAGCCCTCATTTACCCTGGTGAGAAGGGAAAAATTAATTTAAACCCCATCAAAAGTGCAAAAGCTCTTTGCCATTTTGTGCTGCAGAACACAGTGTGAACCAAACCTCCCTTGAACCACCTGCACTTGCCAAGCCCAGCCAAGAGTACAGGAACTTGCAGATTGGAATCCTTTTGTTCAGGCACCAGCAACAGACAAACGTGATCTAAGATATTTCTCGGGCAGCAGCAATGGGGATGTGCTTGGGATGCAAAAAAGAGCTTTTACCCCATTAAGCACCCTCTTCTTTGGGCCCCTATTCCTGGATGTATGACATATAGCAAAACTTTTCACGTCCCAGCAGCTTCTGCTTGTGTCCCAGCTTGGGACAGCCTGGGGCAGCTCTCCACAGCCAGGCACAGCCTGGGCACAGGAGAATGGGGCTCTCCTCCCTCACTGCCTGCCCTTGCCAAGCACACAGGAACCTGCACTGAGCCTGTGTGGGGCTTGCCAAGGCTCTGGCAGCACGTGGGAGTGGAGAAATTTGCTGAAGCAGAAAACAAGCCCAGGAAGCCCACCAAGCCCACTCACCAGGGAGTGAGCTGTTCCTGACCTGCCTTGGGGGTCTGGGAGCCACCTGTCCTCCAGCATCTGCTTCTGCTTGCAGTGCTGATTTACTGCTTTAAAGCCAAATTCACACCATGGACTATTTGCTTCTAGTTTGCTGTGCTGTGTTTTCTCAGACCTCCTCCCTTTGCCAAAGTACTATTTGCACCACACTCAGCCACGCAGAAGGCGCCTTAGATTCAGATCAAGTCCCCAGGTAGAAGGGCTCACATGAAAAACCAGAAAATTATGAACAGAGTTATTAACATCAGTAAGACCATTTGGTGAGGCCATGTCTGCTCCTAACAAAGAGAAATAATGTGCTTTCATACAAAGGTGAATGCTGCAATTAACCTGCTCCCCATCCTTGCCCGTCCCACTCATTTCACACCAGCCCCATAGGTGCAGAAGCACCCTGCTCTCTGCAGCACCAGGGTCATCTCCTTTCTGGATTCAGAGAAGGAATTACAATGTACACTGTGACTTCCCAGCCACCTCCATCTACTTCAACTCTGCCTTAGCTTCCTTAAACCACACCAAATATGACTGAGGCAATAGTTTTCAAATAATTTTTCTTCCTCTTCTCCCTTCATACTCAAGAATTTTTATATGTAGGAAAAATCAAGTTGAGACAACATGAATTTTATAGCAAAGACAAAAGATCTAATCAAGCTTCTGTCTTTCAGCAGCCTTTGGATTTTCACAATGGCAGAATCTTCAGAGAGATGCCCAAAATCTGCTTAACGCAGCCACAAGAGGGAGTCTGAAATCTGTTACTGCCCAGCTGGATCCTGGCTTCTAAACTCTTCCAGTACAAGAGCACACAGAGAGCTTCAGAAGGATTGTACAGTCCTGAATTGAGCAGAACCATTTGAAACCAGGGCATCTCCAGCTGCCAGATGTTTTGGAGAGAGACATTCTCAGAAATGTGCTGTTGTGCTACTGCCACGCAAGACTGCTGCACCAGAAATGCAGTCCCACCTTGCTGAGATCTGAAATTACGCTCAATTTTACTCTTCCCACCCACAGTCTGAAAGAATGGAGCAGGTTCTGCCCAATCTGACCCACAGTGGAACAAGCTACAACACTGGCTTAACATTCTGCTAATTTAACATGTGATTAGAAACTCTGGCAAAGATGAGATCCCACAGCACAACAAATAACACTTCTCACAGGGCCAGGGAAATATCTGTGTTGAATCTGTGTCTGCTCTCCATCTGCCAAAAAATTGTCAAGACACATTCCTCAAAAATACTTTTATGGTCTTTACTGAATCTTGACATCCACTTGTTCTAGTTTCCATTACAGCTCCAAAGGGGCATCCAGGTTTGAGTAAAGCCACAAAGTAAAGGATTTTGAGCAGAAATAGCTGCCTTCAGGCACTGTCCAAAGCACCATGAAAAGCCTCTTTTCATGGCAACACTTTTCCAGAGATTTAGCCAAGAGATAAAGACAAGAAACAATTATCACAGAGGTTAATGAAGGAAATGCTCAGACTACAGCTGAATTCTACTTGGCTTTATCATTTCATAATCTTTCTCTGCAGATCTCTTTTGTACTTTCACCTGCCCACTCCTGCTTGAAACTGAAGAGGGAATCTAGGCCAGCAGACAGTTAAATCTGACATTTAAACCATGATCAGTGTATCATTACTGGATCCCACAGCTCTGACCCCAGAGGCTGTATATTCAGCTGTCAAGAAACAGAAAATAGTCTTAAACCTTTGAGGCTCAACATAAATCACTTTTTTTTTTTTTTTTTTTTTGCTTGCAGTACTAGCCAACTTAAGGGTGGGGTTCCTATCAGGCTGTTGAAAAAACCTGCTCCCCTATTTATGAATGTCTTTTTTTTCAGAAGCAATCTAATAGGAAAAAATACTCCTAAATTGTGATCAGGGGCTGACTACTGGAATGCCCATGCCTATTAATGCCACAGCAGATGTTCAGCAGTGCAATGGTTCATACAATATGCTGACAATAGTAAGTTATTAAAAGAACATGGTAAGATCTAAAAACTCCTGATCAACTGTTGGAGTGGGTCAGCAAAGATCTGATGTGATACGTGTTAACATCCCAGAACAACTCATCCTCTGCTTGGCCAAACCTCACTGCACTCACTCAGCTGAATGCAATTAGACCCCAAGCTTGTCCTAATTTCAGCCTCTGCAGAGAAGGGTTGTCTTTCTTCAGCAAGAAAAACGTGGCTGCTCAGAGATGGTGGCTGTGATGGGCATGGAGAAACTGCAAAGGTGCAGCACCAGCTCACAGTTTCAGGCAGGGAGAGCCAAGACAGCCTGGTGTGTACATTAAAATGCAAACACAGCACCTGCCTTGAGTTTCAGTCACCCCAGCAGAAAGCAGCAAGAGCCCAGAAGCAACACAGTGCACAGGCTGTTTTCAGATAAATGTTATACAATTTTCCCTCTAGCTCCATGGATCAGAAACACATGCTGCAGCTAGAGAACCATTACAGTTTAATCCCACCTCAAACAAGGAGATGGTAAATCTTCAGATCATACTACCAGCAGCCTACCCAAGGAGCAGAGCACAGTTCCACTCATTGCCATGGTTGAGACAATCCCAACCAGAGCAAGTTAAACTGCGTATTGCTTTGGAAAAACAAGTTCATTGGATTTTTTTCTGACCATGCTATTGGATGGAGGTGAATGAAAGACTAGATCCAACTCCTATGAAAAATGTGACTTTCAGATATTGTACAGAAAATAAATTTTAAAAAGCTCACTAACTCCTCCATCAAAAAGAAGATCACAGTGAAAAATTGGGAAGGATTTGCCCCAAACCCTTTCAGTCAGAATAAAAGCTCCTTTCCTACCCCGCTTAATGGGGCACAAGATCCTTTAGGAGAAATTTCTTCCTGAAAGGTCTTGAAAATTTAGTATGATTTTTCTGATAAAGTAGCTTGTGTTTCCCCAGTAGAACAGTCCAAGAAGTCCCTAGCCAATGTTGTATGAGCAGCTAGGAAGCACAACAGGGATCTTCATGGCAGAAACTGCACTGACCCCACACCTAGCAAATGCCAGATTCCACTAACCCCTCGCTCCAAGACAGATTTTAGGTTAAATCTCTACAGGAGTCCCTTGGAAAGAATTCACAATTATCAGTTGCAAGACTAAGGGAAGACATTAATGACTTGTTTGTTCCCAGAGTTTCCTTGATCCATGAGGCAATGTTCTCAGTAAGTAAATCAAGTCTCACGCCAGTTTGTGATTGATGAGCCAGCAAGTCAAAGACTGGAACTACGTTTGCACACATGACAGACAATCCTGGTAATCATGATCAACCAGCTGACGTTACTGGTGCCCAGAGGGTCCCCAGGGCTGTGTGACTGCAGAGAGCTCTGAGCAAAACAGGGAAATGCATTGTTCTCGTTGCTATGAGTTTAAAGAAGTCTGCTCAGCCATGTAATGGTTTTGGGCTCTTTAATTATTAGTGATACCCAGAACACACCACACAATTTACATGTGCAAGTGCCACATCTCTGCACTTGAGTCACAGCACAGCCTGCCCACTTCACCAGGACCAGAAAAAGAGCCTGCTGCCAAGGGGAGAGGGCTTCAGCTCCCCTTCCGTGGGTGGGTTTGGCTCTGGTCTGGGTCTAGAGTGATAGGCATTCTCAGGCAGAGGACGGTCTGTCTTCACCTTCGTAACCTGGAAAGAAATGCAAAGAAGTGACACAACTTCTCACAGCATTGAATAGCCAGGTTGAGTCAGAACTTCAAGGAAGAACTACCAAGAAGAACCAAACAATAGCAAGGACACATTGTTCAGCTGATGGGAGCTCCTCAGTACTTCTAAGAAAAGGGAAGGGAGGGGTGCTTCATCAGAACTACCGAGTAGCTCCACGTGAGCATGAGCTTCATTCCTAAAGGAAAAGCTTCTACCAGGAAAAGCAGAAAGCAAGAATTTAATTGTCTAAGAAAAGCAACCCTGGAAAACGCCGCCAGTCTTGACTTCTACTACCCCACCAACTTCCAACGCCGAGTTCACAAAACCCCATCACGCCAACAGACGCCGGAAACCTGGTCTGGACAAAACGTGCACAAAGGAAGGAGAGCAGGATCTATGCGCACCAAGGGGTTTAAGAAGTTACCTTGGAGAGGTCTCCCAGGTCGGGCCTGACCCAGCCCAGCTTGTCCAGCACGCAGGAGTCGAAGGCTGCCTGCTGCTTGCGGCAGCGGCGCAGCTCCTGCTGGCCGGTGTAGTCGATGCACGTCCAGTAGGCCGTGAAGGGCTCGGCGCAGTGCGTGCGGATGCTCCTGGGGACACCACAGCACAAAGCCCTCAGAACCGCTCAGGCCCCTCTCATGCCAGCCTCTGCTCTCAGGAATATCTAAACCTTCACTCAAGTCAGTGTTTGATACCTGTGAAACTTCCATCGCTGCAGCTACAATTAATGACAGCAGTGACTTAACTGGTGTGTGGAGGAGGTTTTTGTTGGTATGTGGAGGAGGTTTTTGTTGGTATGTGGAGGAGGTTTTCGTTGGGTGGATGTTCACAGCTCCTCCACGGGACACCTTTGTTTTGCCAAATAATTTAGTTATATTACACGGTGCTCTAAGGCTTCCAAATAACTTTGTGTCTAAAGCTCAAAAAGCCATGCTCAGAGCAGAGGTTTCAGCTGCTGCACTGGAGGTGGATATGCCTTGAGGTAATTAAATTAGGTTGTGTGCAAACAGTACTGGCACGTGCCTTGGAGCTGTATGTTTGGTCAGGAGAGGCAAGCTCAACCTGCTCAAGCTTTCTCAGTGGTTCACCTGTGAGACGGGGAGGACAGACACTGCAGGGCTCAGGTTGGTTTCTGGAGGTCATCACACAGCTGCAAGGTGCAGCAGCGTCACAGCACTGCCCTGAGTTCCCAACAAAAACCCAGGCTGCTTGCTCTGGCACAAAGGCACAAGAGCTTCAAGTGACAGGATAAATCCATGTGCAAATAAGCAAGACAAAACACATGGCCCCTATTCCCAGGAGTTAAAGTTTAAGAAGAAAGTATAAAAATTTTGAAGGTGGTGATGGCAGCAGCATTTTTAATTAGAATAATGGAATTACAGAATAGTTTGGGTTGGCAGGAACCTTTAAAGTTCATCTCATTCCACTCCCTGCCCTGGGCAGGGGATACCTCCCACTATGCCAGGTTGCTCCAAACCTCATCCAACCTGGCCTTGGACACTTCCAGGGATGGGGAAGCCACAGCTTCTCTGGGCACCCTGTGCTAGGGCCTCCCCACCCTCAGAGGGCAAGATTCCTTCCTAACACCTAATCCAAACCTGCCCTCTGTCAGTGTGAAGCCATGCCCCCTTGTCCTGTCACATCATATACGCTGGTCACCAATCCCTCCCCAGCTCTCCTGTAGCCCCTGCTGGCACTGAAAGCTGCACTAAGGTCACGCCGGAGCCTTCTCTTCCCCAGGCTGAAGAGCCGCAGCTCTCCCAGCCCGTCTCCACAGCAGAGGCGCTCCGCCGAACGAGTGACCGCCAGCGCTGGCACGGCACTGCCGGGCACGGCCCCGCAGCACCGTCACCTCCAGGCCCGCGGGGCTGCGGCGGCGTCTCCCGGCCGGGGGCCGCTCACCTGAAGAAGTCGAGGGCGCACTGGTTCACCTGCCGGCCCTCCCTCAGGCACTTGCGCGGGTCCTTCTCCTCCCAGCGGCACAGCATGAACTCCTTGTTGGGCCGGTCGCACTGCGAGCCGTAGTGGTGCGCCGCGGCCTTCAGCACGGACGAGCTCACCGCCACCTCCAGCGGGGCTCGCAGGGGACACGTGGGAGCGGGGCGCAGGGGAGGGCAAGGGGCTGCTGGGAGGGGAATCGCTGGCGTTGCAGGTGGGCAATGGGGACAAAGGGAGGGTCGCGGGGGGCTGGTGGGACCGGAGGGCGCGGGGTTCCCACCGTCCACCTTCTCCATGTCTTCCAGGATGGAAGGATTCGGCTACTACACGCTGCCGATGGGCACCGAGTACCGGGGCTCGCTGTGGGACGGGATGTTCCACGGGCAGGGCGAGCTGCGGCGCCCCACAGGCGGCGCGTACCGGGCGCTCTGGGACCGCGGGGTGCCCACGCAGGTACGGCCGGGGGGGCTGCACCTCCGCTGGCACAGGCCTGGAGGTGAAACACGCGGATTTCCCAGCCGAGGCAGTGTCTGACCCCTCGGGGCGGGTGGGGGGAGGCTGCTGGTGCCGGGCACCGCGCAGGATTCCCGGCAAAAGGCGAGCGGGGCCGCGCTGGCTCTGCTGCGGCTCTGCCCGTGCGACCTGGCCCGGGTTCCGTCCATCCATCATGTTTATTAACTCTGCACTCAAACGTGTTTTGCAGGGGAAATACACTTTTACAGATGGTCTCGAATACGAGCAGGAAAAATGGCTTTACTGCGACGGCTACGACAGAAGATTCTACACAGAAATCTGTTCTGGTTTTAAACCACCAGGTACTAAATTGCATTTGCGATCCTGGGAGTCTGGAAGGAATTAAACTAACAACTTTGCTTAAGAAAGATTAATTCAGCTACATGAGTAACATGGAGCAGAAATGCTCTGGCTAATTTCATACAAGCCTGAGATGCTGCCAGGAGAATGTGGACACCACCTTCCACCAGCCCAGCCTGGGGTGCAGCTCTGGGGTCTCTTGGGGCAGGACAGGCCTTTATTATCTGCAGCTTTTGACATCCTGATTAACCCTTTCGTACCCCCTCACTGCGGCAGCAGGGTGCTTTTGGTACAGAGAAGTCGAGCAAAAGCAATTAATTTGCATCCAGGACAACAAATGAAGCTTCAAGCATCTGCCCCACGTAGCTTTTTAGAAGTTGCCAAAACAGATGTTTGTGTTCAGTCTGTGTTTTTGATAAAGGCTTTTATAATGTTGTTATTATTGTAGTCAAAAGGTGGGTTTATAAGGGAAAAAAAGTGAGTAAAATCTGTAACTTAATGTGCACAATACATAGAATATTTTAGTGATGACATGGAGTTCTGTGAAGCCAGCGAGTCTCTCCTGGCCCCATTTTGGATTTTAGGGCTGGACTTGTAATGTGAATTTGGTGGGCTGAATCACAGGGCTGTGAATGAGGAAATCAAAGTGATCATTTTTTATCACACAATCTTTGGGTGTGCATTTTTCCATTTCCATTTTCCCCATCTGCAAAATTGATGAAATGTTTTGCAAAATTTATTGTGAGGTAACTCTGTTATTTTTATAGCAAACACCATGGAGATGTATGTTAGTTATCTTGATCAAAGGCATAAATTAAAAAAAAAAAATCAAAGGGCGGGGAAGGTCCCGCGGGCCCTCACGCACTCACCTCCTGCACATCGAGCTCCTCGAGCGGAGGCACCCGCAGCACCCCGGGCATGGCGGCTCTCCTTGAGCGCCCTCAGCGCCCGCCCCGCACCGCGCACGCGCGGCCGCCGGGGGGCGGAGCCAGAGCGGGGCGGGGCCGGGGCGGGGCCGTTGCCCTGGTGACCGGGACGCGCCGTCGGGGCCGCCATGGAGCTGGTGGGGGATCGGTACCTGGGGGGCGTCATGCGCGGCAGGTGGGGCCGGGGCACAACACGGCACAAAGGGGACACGAGGGGACCGGGAAGGGGCACGGGGGGTGCTGGGGAAGGTGGAAGCAGTCGAGCAAAAGCAATTAATTTGCATCCAGGACAACAAATGAAGCTTCAAGCATCTGCCCCACGTAGCTTTTTAGAAGTTGCCAAAACAGATGTTTGTGTTCAGTCTGTGTTTTTGATAAAGGCTTTTATAATGTTGTTATTATTGTAGTCAAAAGGTGGGTTTATAAGGGAAAAAAAGTGAGTAAAATCTGTAACTTAATGTGCACAATACATAGAATATTTTAGTGATGACATGGAGTTCTGTGAAGCCAGCGAGTCTCTCCTGGCCCCATTTTGGATTTTAGGGCTGGACTTGTAATGTGAATTTGGTGGGCTGAATCACAGGGCTGTGAATGAGGAAATCAAAGTGATCATTTTTTATCACACAATCTTTGGGTGTGCATTTTTCCATTTCCATTTTCCCCATCTGCAAAATTGATGAAATGTTTTGCAAAATTTATTGTGAGGTAACTCTGTTATTTTTATAGCAAACACCATGGAGATGTATGTTAGTTATCTTGATCAAAGGCATAAATTAAAAAAAAAAAATCAAACCATGTTTTTCCCCTTCAGGCATTGCTCAGCTTACAAATCTGGATCCTCCCAAAATAATCCCAAAAGGTTGTTATGACTGTGGTGATGGATTCTATAACCCCAAAACCAGAGTAGTTGTTGACTACAAACGCAACTTTCTGAGAAATGCAGGTATGATTTAACTTCTTCTGCAAGGTAAACTAAGAAGGGTTTATTATATCTTCTAGGCTGCCTGATTAAAGCCAAAATATAAACAACTCCATGGCTTGGTTCTATTATCACTGAGCTAAAATATCTTTAACTTATTTATTTTATCAGTGATTTATGTATCCCCAGAGCTGTACAAATCATATTTTGCAAAATTACAATGAAGTATTCCCAAGCATATATGAATAAATATGTTTTATTACCATTTGGTATGTTAATCTCAGAAAAATCTTCAGTCTCTCCTGTTATGATCTCAAGCAAGGGAGTGGTTGTGAGGGGCACATCACTGATCCTGGAAGCTGAAAAGCTCCATGTTGTCAACCAGCAAAGTGCTGAAGCATCTGCTTATCCCTGCATGCTGGAATAGTCCAGTTTATTAAAATGAGTCTGGGTCTTACCTTCCTGGGCAGGAAACCTTCACCTTGGAGAGCCGTGTTTGGAGTAGAGTCTGGCAAGTACACGGATAGGTCCTCAAATTAATAAACCTTGGGGAAAATTAGTTCTTACCAAGCCAGAAGAGAAACTTTTCAAATTAAAAGCCACAGAAGATCCCCAAAGAGTTGACACTGGGATAACTAAAAAAATGTAATCTGACCTGAAAAAAACCCCTACTTTGTGTTCTGGCTGTTTCATCTTTGTGTTTATCACTTTTTCAGTGCAGAGGGTTTTAAAATTAAACCGATTTCTGAAAGCAGCCACCCACCTTGCTTTTTTTTCCCCCCTCAAATGTCCAAATTGCAAAACCTCTTTTTTTTTTTTTTTCTAGAAAACAGAACATTTCATTTTCAGTATGATACAGTTTAACAGTTTTGTTGCTCGGAAACTTCATTTTTCAGCAAATTTACTATTTGTTGTAAAAAAATTCTGCTCCGCTCTACTTTCAAGAGCTTTTGTGAGTGTGCACTGTGATATTGGAGGAGGGAAGTGGGGAGGGGTTAAATGAATTGGAGATACCATCTGCTATAAAATATACCCTGTGATACATGGCCTGTTTTATAAACGTTGAATAAAAACTGATCTAGATTATTACAAATGGCATTGATCCAAAATACTGGAATGCAGTGGGCCTACTGATGAGGAAGATAAGCAACATGCTTTCCAAAAACACAGGAACCTACACAGATTAGTACAGGAGGGAACGCCTTGGAATTCAATTTATTGTTTTTTAATCTGTTCTTTGAACTCATTGTCCTTTATGACATTTATCTCAAACCCTCCAAATTATACCAATCAATATTGGCCCAGCAGCCCGGCGCAGCGTGCGGCCTGACAGAGCGCTGGAGATGGGCTTGGTGTGGCCCTTCCAGCCAGGGCCTGGACACAAAGTTAAAGTTGTTGATGTGAGTGTGAAGAAGGAATGTGTCATGTAGGCCAGACCCTTCCTCTCAAGAACATGAACACAATTGAAAAACCCGGCACTTGTTCAACATCAGAGGAACTCCTGCCGCCCCAGGAGAGATGATTCAGGGCACAAGGCCACTGAAGTAAAGAGAAAAAAAAAATTAAAAAAAACCCCAGCTGTAAGCAGAAGAAACTGAGGAAGAGGCTGAGATGACAGGGAACAGATCCAGAATTACTCCATTATAGGTTGGGCAGGAAAGAGCAGGAAAACCTCCAGGCTTCCAGCCAAGTCTTGAAAGCATCAAAAGCAGATGGTAGGAAGCATTCAGGAAGTTCTTACAACAGCTTGACAGGTTTACCAAAATGACACTATCTTCCTCAGGCCTGGCAGCAGGCTTCAGAATACTCCAGTCCTCACCTTTCACCCCGGTGCTGTTATGAATTAATTGCTAATTGTTTGTGAAGAGAGGAGGAATCCCTGGGCCTGGGCACGGCCTTGGCCCCAGCCTGGCAGCGCCCAGGTACAGCTCCAGAGCCGGGCCCTTGGAAACTCCTGAGTTTGCTTCCAGCACTTCTCCGTGGACATGAGAGGATGTGGAGCCCCAGGGAGGCTCCTGAGGAGCCTGGCAAGCCCTGCACGCCTCGAGCTCGGAGGTCTGAGCCTCGTTTACTCGCAGAGCTCTGGCTGCTGGAGCGGCGCAAAGGCCCGTCCTGAAAACACAACCGGGCCCCGGGAATGAAATGACAGCAACAGCTTTGTTATAGTTTTTAGCTAGCAAACTTTTCCAAATTCTCATTACAGCCTCGCAGTTATTACTCCGTCCCTAAACCTCTGTTTCCTTGGGGATGCTCAAGTTTCTCTTGGTTCTCCATGTGTTCTTCAAGCTTTTCTTTTTGCCAGTATTGCAAAGTACGCAAAATTGAGCACATAAATAAGAATGGGAAGGCTCATTTGTAAGAAGATACGTTGTTTATTTTTAATAGATACCGGGACCAGGCTCCTGTTTCACCAGGAGTATTCCTCTTTTTTTTTTTTTTCCCTCCCAGAAATACGACTCCTGGCACCTTTGTAACAGAGTTTGGTCCATAGAAAGATCGGAAGATTTCCCAGTTTTTCAGTGAAAAGTAGAAACTACAAGACATTATTCTTAATGCAAAGCAGAGAGGTATGAGAAAAGCTGTGACAGTCAGATTTTAGGCCCTCTAAATATCAGAAAAACCCATAACTTTCAAAGAGAAAATACCATCAAGGGCATTTTTTATACTGAGACGGAAAAGATCTCAGCAGATTGCCTGGGTCACCTGTCTTGATGAAAAGCAAAGATATTTCTGATGAAAATTGCCTTGTTTCTCCTGTGGTTTTCAGAGGGATAGGTTAAATAATATAAAACATGTTTTTCCTCATTCTAATATGAGAATATTTATTCCACTATTTTCGTATTTCTTCTTCAGGTTTAATTAGTATGGTGCATAGGGGAGCTTCCTGTAGTGCAGTCAATATTACCTGAAATATATTTGTACCTCTTCCTATAAATCAAGAGCAGAAAGACTCAAAATCTGCCTTTTCACTCTGAGCTCAGTCAGGGAACTGAATTAAGAGCAGGATTAGGCCTAGAAGACCAGGACAAGTGTCTTATTAAGAGGGGGTTTGGTGTTGCTGCAGTCCCAAGCCAGCCTGCAATCAGCATTTCTACAAGCCTGAAAGTCTCGTGAAAAGCAGCAGGAAAAATCCTGCTGCTTCAGGAATCATTATGAGCTGAAAAGGTCAAGATTCAAGAACATTATTTTTGTATAGTTTAGAGAAGTCTGGGGTTAGAACTGAGGTTGTGAGGCTGGCCCAACTCCCCAGGCAAGGGGGCAAAGCCATTTGAATTCTAAGCCTTATTAATCACAGACTTACAGTTTCCTCATGTTGTTACCTTGGGATGGAGAACTCCAGCTTGGTCTGAAAGAACTGAGAAGCACAAATGTTTTGGACAGTCAGCAACGATGTGTTCAACCATTTCAGGTTTATCCAAGTACACAAATCCATGAGAGAAATCTACATTTGGACTTTTTTTTTCCACACGGATCTGACTTGCACCAAGTGCTTTTTGGGAAATGTAGACTTTGACTTGTCTGAAAAATGCGGTTGAGAAACAGCCATAACCACTCAATAATCGCTCAGGGTAATATTTCTATACCTACCCTCATGTACCCCAAATACATGCAGATGTTTGCGTGCTCTTTCTCAGAAACTACTGGAGAATTGGGTGTGGGATGAGGACCTGGCAATTTTTCAGGCCTGGAGTATTTCTGGAAAAAAGACAGCAAATTTAACTTCGAGTCAACTGCCGTGCAGGAAAAAAGATTGACTGCACTGAGGGATCATGCACGGAGCTTTATTCCCTGTTCTTCTTTGAAATTGCCCGTTCTGATGATGGAGGGAGGGGATGAACAGCCTGATTCCAGGCTAGTCCCGTAGTCATTGCCTAAGAATGCACGAGTTGTTTTGGCAGATGCCCTGAGCAAGGAGAGGAAAGCCCCAGCAATACACATACAGAGGGAATATAGTATTTTTGTTCGAATGAATTTAGCTTCCCATAGATTTAAATGTCTACTTATAAGGCAGAGCCATTTAATCTTTTGTACATTTGTTTCTTTTTTATTTGACTTAAGATACTGAATTTAGATGAGGTTTAGTTCCTACATATTGAAACTCTTAAAAGCTCTTCAAATAATTGTTCTTTGGATACTTGTTAGGCTAAAGAAATCAGTTTTGATCGGCAGTAAAAGTTCATGCTATTTTAAGTGCAATGCTATAGCTATTTTCTGTTGTATATTTAATCATTTTGAATTATATGTCATGTAAAAGATTTTAGCTCTGGGGCATTTGCCAGATGGCTGATTCTGCATTTCACACAACAAAAGAAATAATGTTTGTGTAAAGCTCTTAAAAATAGTTGGTAATCAGTATATTCTACAACGAATAGGATCCAGACCTGTTTGGAAAAAAACCCCAGCTTTTGCAGAAATTAATTTAGAGGATTTGGTCTCTACCTCTGGGCTCTGAACAAAACAAATTGTGTCTATTGTTTGCTGATTTTGTAACATTTAACAAGTTAACTGGATTGTAAATTTTACTCATTTTTATGTTAAATGCCGTTTATTGCAATCCATTGATCTTTTTCTCTTTACTTTGGCTGACAAACTTATTTCTGAAAGCAGGGCTGTAAAGCAGAGAGCCAATGCTGCTCTCCATTTACACAAGCAGAGCATACGAATGCGAGTAGCCCTTTGCTTTTCTTGCAACAGCTGCAGTGCTTGTCCTTTTTACTGCTAGTTCCTCCTTCTGGCCTCTTTGATTCATGTTCCTCCAAAATACCAGTGCAAAAAATATTTTCTCTCTCTGCCATGGCATTCAGCTTCTTCTCTTTGCCCACAGGGCTCTACAGAGCTACCTACAAATTCACCTTCTGGTCTTGTCTCCTCCATCTCCCACATACTTTTTCCCCTTGGATCTAGTTCCAGGACATAGGTTTTTAGCCTTTTCATACAATTCCAGTTTTCTGGTACTTGCTTTCCAGACTCTATGGTAGCCTAAAGCTTTGAAAAATATTACATCCAGAAGCAGGTCAGAAATT